AATAATTTACCAATGTCGGAGGATAGAAAAAAGGCAATGTCTTACATACTTTTAAGCTCTGACAGGAGCTTCAACATGTCACTTGGTGGTCTCTCTGTCCCAGAAAATTGACCAACAGTAGTTGACCAAAGATTGATCAAATGCCATGCCTTCGTCAGTGAACGCAGTGTTGACGAAAGTTATCGGAAAACGGGCTTTGTCTCGATCGATGCGCATGCGCGTCTATTTTGCATAATGTCTGTCCCCGGGAAATTGACCCAAAAAGAGTCCCCTAAGTTTCCAATATACCAAATTTTCATTTAAAGAACAAAGAAAACAAAAGAAATGAAATACCAAAAATTGTCGGAAAAATTCGTAACGTTATTTATGAATATTTTGTAAAATGGAGGCAAGATAATGTGCAGTAATGTTATAGTCACGTGGTATATAGCGCGCTATTTTTGTTATAATAATAATATAATAATAAATGGAGCATTTATAAAGCGCTTTTAACAAAGATCAAAGCGCTGTACAAAACTACAAAACTACAAATCTACAAATAAACAAGACAAAAACAAAAACAAAACAAAAAACTTAATTTAAGAATAACTCAAGGGAACCAGGGGATAATGAGAGGTAAAGATGAAGGTGAATTGATTTAAAGAAACAGATGTGTTTTGAGCGATTTCTTGAAGGTGATGATTGACGATGCAAGTTGGATGTGTTGAGGGATCTTGTTCCACTCCCTGGGGCCAGCAATCGAGAAAGCTTTGACACCTGTGGTTTTAGTGTTAATAGGAACATGTAATCGGGAAGTGTCTGTTGAAGACCTGCTTATAAGCCCCGCCCTACCTGATTGATACAAAGAGAGTAAATCGGTCAGGTAGGAAGGAGCCAGACAGTGTTGTGTTTTGTAAACGTATAGAAGTAATTTGAAAAAAATACGCGATTCAATCGGCAGCCAGTGTAATTGATGCAGGAGCGGTGAGGCCTCAGTAGAGCGGCTTACACAGAGAATGAGTCCGGCTGCACGGTTCTGAAGTTTTTGTCACCCGTTTCTGTCTCCTTGACTTATGCCGTATAAAAGAGAATTGCAGTAGTCAAGGCGAGATGTGATTAGCGAACGTACTGCATGGTGACAAGTGGAAACTTAGGGGGTTATTTTGGTTGATTTTCAGCGCGAAATTTTCAGCGCTGATTTTCGCGTGGGCACACAATCGTTTCATGCAAGACTTCCATGCAAGGCGGCCAGAGCTTATTGTGCACTCGCACTTGTTTACCAAAACATTCGCCTCATAAAGTGAACGTGTTAAAAACTGAATCTCTACACCAAAAAAAACAATAAATCAAAGTTCAAAGCGTGTCGCTGTGGATTTAACACTCTTCAATTTATTAATTAGGTGATTCATTGCACTACGGTGCTATAATCCAGTTAGGCATCAAGCATAGCAAACACCAGAACAATGATTAATGCTCCTATAGATGTTACGAGAGCATTTTCTGAACAACAAAAGAAAAGTGGACAAAGTGTCCTTACATCGCGTTCGGTACCAAATCGTTTAATTCGGAGAATACTACAATTCTTCAGGAGAAAACAATGATCTGGGGCGGCATTAGTTAGGTAAACAAAGCTTGGGAATCAAATTGCGGGCATTTGGAAATGTCAAGAGCGATTTCCGCTCGAAATGTAAGTGAGTTACCATGAATGAGGTTACATTAGAGAGCCGTTCGCTCCACCAATTGAATTACGCAATATACGATAAGTGATGGATGACGATATAAGGTATTACCGTTATCATGAAATAATTAAGCTGCTGCGAACTGCTCACTGACTGGCTTGACCTGAAATATATACAAATCAAAAATTAGAGAGGCCTTTTAGGGTTTTTTTTTAAGATGTTTTTTTTCTAAGTAAAAATGACTCTGATGAAAAAAGAGACAATGTGCATCTTATTAATAAAGGTGTCAGAATTACAGGGTATTCTTCGACCCAAAACGTCAGTCTTAACGTAAAATGTGCGATTTCACTGTGCGGAATGAAAAGTTTGAAAAAAACTTTTTAATTTGCAAAAAAAGTGCGTAACGAAAATACACTTTTCCAATAAAAAAAACCGGTCCCCGTTAAGTTTCTTTCTCTTGGTGTATAGTTTATTTTCTAAGTAAATTGGATTAATTGTTATTATAGCGCCTTGAGCGCCTAAATAGGTGGATATGTGCGCTTTATAAATCTTTATTATTATTATTATAGTTTTGCCAACTACGTGTTCACTTTAGTTTCAATATAAGGGAGCGTCTCATCAGTTGGAACGCTCGGAACGTTCTCATTGGAACGGCGTGTTCCCAAACTGGAACGCTCCGGCGTTCCATTGGGAACACGGGACCGTTCCGTTGGAACGGCAAAATCCCTTTGCGAGAACGGTCCAGCGGAACGGTCGGGAACACGCGTTCTTTTGCGCGTTCCAGCGGAGCGTTCCCAGCATATCGCGTATACGATGGTCCAGTTTCGAATATTCGCCCATATTGCGTCAGGAAAAATGGCGTCACGATCTCCGGCAAACCGTGCGTCACTGAACGGTAGGTTTTGCCTGTTTTTGAGGATTTATATATAATATTTGGACGTGGTTGTGAAATTTCTGTGATGGTTTGGGTAAATAGTTCAACACAAGCTACGAGTGAGCGTTAATGCGGATGGAATCTTGGTAAATCTAATGATGTAAATATCGTTTCTGTGGTGAAATGTCGGTAGCCCCGAACCTCACATCACATGTAATCGCTACTCTATGGTGAGTGTGTATTCACGTCAAAGTATGCTTGTGCAAGAACAATATATATATTTTTTAAAATAATACTTTGATAATGCGTACTAGATTAAGGGAAATCTCCCAAAAAAATCATAGATAGAGGGGGTGAGGGGATTTCGAAATATGTTAAGTGAATTTCTGTTAAATATAATCGATTACGAAACGCAGTGGCTATTGTTACGGCACATGTGAAGTTCTCTGGTGAAATTTCACCATGAACTTTTACATCGCTACGTTGATTGTGCATTCACGTTTACAATTACTACAGGGCGCATGTTTGTAGTATGCATGCAAGAACAAAAAGTGTCTTTGACACTCGTACGTAATAGGTTTACTAAAATCACCCGACAAAACAGCGTAGAAAAAGTGAAGGATTTTGAATTACAAACAAAATCATTTCCAAACAATAATAGCCTTCATCTCGAAAACAGCCCCGCTGATAAAATGAACTAGAGCGCTTGTATGTTTTGTCATGGTACTATGCTATATTTTTACGAAATAAAAATAGCAAAAGATAAAAGCGGAGCTTACTATTGGCGATGTACTTTTTGTCAGACAAAATCTGCGTTTGAACATAAACTCTGACTCTGGGTCCTGCTGCACGGACGTACTCACGTATACCCGAGCGCGAATACCCATCCGTGCAGCGTTCCGCCGGGAACACGGTGTTCCCTCCCCGTTCTAGCTGGACCGCAGCTCGGTGCGTTCCCTTCAAGCCGCAGAACGCACCCGCGTTCCATTGGGAACACGGCACGTTCCCGTTGGAATGCCTGGCGTTCCCACGGAACGCTTCATTGGACCGCGAACGTTCCCGACTTATGAGACACTCCCTAAACTTAAAGTGATTTTCACTCCAAATCGTCTATTCCGTATAGTTTCAGTCTTTGGAAGAGTATGATAGAATAGAGAGTAGGCCTATGCTTATTGATCGGGACTACAATTAGGGCTAAGCATGTATAGAGCTTCATTTAGGTAAATGATTTAGGCTACATTTAGGTTGGGCTATACGTGTATTTTTAGAATGAGGAATTCGAAGCAAAAAATATTAAAATTGCCAAATGGAATGATGAATTTACCGAAATGAATTATCAATCTGACGAATCAAATGATAGCGAATTGTCGAATGAAGCTTCAGCGTTCCATAATAATAAATCCATCGTAAACCTTGCCATTCTTAAACACTGTCCACTTCCTACAGTCAATGCTCTAATACTTAAAGGCCCTTGCAATGTAATTGCTTTAATGTAATCCTTGAAAATGCACCTTTGTGTCCCATTGAACCGTATTCTTAATTTTCGTTCTGCCATTTTCAAGGGTATTTTGGTGCCTTTGTTGTTTAAATACTAATGCAAATTTCCATATCCATGAGCAAAACCGTGATGTCATTTTGGGCAAAAGCCTCAAATTTACAGCTATTTCAGCATAAAAAAGTTGGTAGAATTTCGGATATTTTTCTGTAATACGTTGTGAGTTTTCTTTTCTTTAGTGATTTGTCGTTCTGTCAGTAGTTAGCCAATGAGCAAACCTTTCTCAATGTTAATGAGCAAATTTTGGGTTCACAATTTGAACCTAAGCTGAATGTTTCTTCCTGAAATGACATCACAGCAACAGCGCCCTCAGTTGTCCAGAAAAACATGGACAATTTCAAAGTGTTTAAAGAAGTGCACTTTTCAATAAAATTAACCAAAAAGGAATGTCACATAGTTTTCATACATTGAAGAGGAGTAGAAAGTTGTAGAAAATGTGTTTTTAAGAAAGATTCATCACATGGACCCTTCAACTGGACAAACCATTACATGCCTCCAGATGTAATGAGATCCCTCGAAATGAGTGTATATTTTGGAATAAAGAGTTCATTTGACAAAATCGTGTTTCGTGATCAAAAGGTTATGCATGGTTTTTAACTGTTTTCTCGAAAAATGTTGGCCCTAATATCCACTGAGCTGAAACTTCAACAGGTTAGGTATTGAACACTCTTCTTTGGATTTTGAGTGCTGTTATTATTGGAAAGGAACGAAATAGCCTGCATGACAAGCAAACGATCCTTTTATGCCTTAAAGAAGGACAATCAATTGGTGAGTTATGAGTTTTTTACATGCAGTTATACTTTCTACTTCTTTATAATGCAGACGTTTTGCAGGTGAAAAAAGGGTTCACTATTTCCATTGTGTGAGATTATTAAATTAAGAAGTCAATTACTCGATAGACATCTCCATGGACTCATTTTCTTAGGTTGGATGACGTGTATCTTTGCGAGACGCGCGCCGATACTGTCGAGATGTCCGCATCGTTATCCGGTCTCCCGTCCGTCCCACGAAACAGCTTCCGCACGCCCTTGCGGAACTGTCTATACTTCACACTGTACACGATCGGATTTGCGCAGGAGTTGCAGACTACGAGTGCCAGGGATACGATGTACGGCACTCCGCCGAGGTCCACATTGACCCCCAGCAAGAAGAGGCTAAAGATGGCCGTGTTGGGAGCCCAGCAGATGACGTAAACCACAAATACCATGAGGAGCGTCTTGAACGTGTTGCGTCTTGCGCGAGCCAGGGATCCGTCTAGCGTGTTGACATCCGTCGTGGAGCCTTGCGTCGATGCGGACGACGTATGCGCGCCCGGTGCGATGCGCCGTGCGCTGCGTTTCAGGGTGACAGCTATGTGACAATACGCCACGCACATGACCGTCACCGGCAGCAGAAAGTTCATCTGGAGCAGCATGAAAGCACTGATGACCGGGGGCTCCGGAAGGGCGTACGGCTTACAGGTTCCGTTGGGCTCGGAGTAGGTCACCCAAACCAGGTTAAAACCCGAGGAGGCGAAGCCATAGCTCCAGCAAGCTGTGATTAAGACTGCGGCTAAGCGGGGTCCGAAGTACGCCTGGTGCTTGAATGGAAACACGATGGCTACGTACCGCTCCACAGTCAACGCGACTAGGTTGGTGGTGGAAGTGGCGAAAGACGACCACAGGAAAAATCGGGTGATCCAGAGATAGCAGAGGAGTAGGCCTGCAACCCCGGGCGGTACCCGCTCCGAAAGGTCGATATTACTGACCAGTAGGAGCAGAAGTGAGGCCACTAGGTCCACCACGGCCTGATTGAAGATGAAGGCGTTGGTCAGTGTGTGCATGGCGCGGACGCGCCATATGACCACACAGACTAGAGAGTTGCCCAAAATGCCGATCAGTCCGACGAGGGATTGGATGACCCGCATATAAATCACGTCCTCCGACATTGTCTTATCGTCGAATCAATTATAACAAAAACCGATGTTTGAATTAGTTGCTGAATTGTCTTTGTAGCGTCGGCTACCTCTCGCTGTAAAACAGGTACAAACTGCTTACTGATGACTGGATTGACCTGAAATGTACGAATAAAAAGTTAGACGTCTGATATTTCGATCCTTTAGCATGTCTTTGTCAAAGGCAATCGGTGTGCACAGGGTGAGTAAAAAACACCCGAAAACCAAATGTCGGGACAGTTTCTCTTAGTGAAGTTCTGCATGTAGCACTTTAAAAATCTAAGATATGAAAGCCCAAGTCATAGTTTCTTTTAGTACAAGAATTATTCAAATCAATCATGTAGTTTTCAAGTTACTGAATATTAAACACAACCACCGTTGTAAAGTTTTGTCCACTGATCACAAAAAAATGTATGTGTTCTTTCAGCAAAACGAAAACAATTCATATACATCCCTTATGTGATTTGTTTTCTTTTTGATGAAAGAACACCTTTTTGTGATCCGGGTACAGAACTTTAAAACGATGTTTGTTTTTTTTAAATTCCGTAACTTAAAAAGTACATAAGTGATTTGAATAATTCGTCACCGACACCACGAAGTAACACTCTACCGTGTTAAACCATATTTTTTTCGATTTCCAGTTTTTTGGATTTTTTAAACATTATTCATCAAGGCCTACCATTGCACGAAGTTTCAAAGCTTCAAGAGCTTTACTTTAATAATTACGCTAAGTATCCATGGCAACTTTTGCGCAAAAGTGACAATTTTCGTTTTCACGATGTAACACTCAAGTTCCATTAACCTTTGCAATGCATGGCACGCACTCTGCTCAAATGCGAGCAAAAACGTTTTCACGAAGTAAGGCTGCATCCGAATCAATTGTCTAGAGCTAGGTCTAGGTCTGCGCCCATTGAAAATACGCGGGGACGCGCTGACAATAGACGTAGCCGTAGCTCTGGAAGCCCGTTTCGGACACGGCCTAACACTCTTGTTGTTTGAGCGCGCGCGCGCTGACTTCCGTTCCCACGAAGTAACACTCTTCTAGTGTTGTAATACATTGAAGCGTGCTACTTCGTGAAAACGAAATTTTACAGTTTCGCAGCTTTTTTGGTTTCACGAACTACCACTCATTTTTTTTCTCTTATTTCTTGTTGTTTAAATACACAAACGGGTCAAAAACAGAGAATTTAATAACATCAATACATCAAGTGTCTACAACGAGAAACTCAACTGAAAATACTCTGTAGTTTTGACGCAAATTGTTGTTCTAAAAGATGTTCAACTTTAGATGCCGTTTTCTCCGATTGCTAATTTTTACCGGTATGTACATGAGTGTTACTTCGTGGTGTCGGTGACGAATTGTTGTACCAAAAAGAGCTTATGAATTGGGCTTTCATATCCTAGATTTTGAAAGTGCTACATGCAGAACTTCATTACATAAATGGTCCTAATAACATTTGGGTTTCCTTTTTTTTTTGGAATCACCCTGTGGTCGAAAGACTTCCCTTCAACACAAGTTTTCACAATTTCAGGTTTCCACCAATTGGCAAGGAAAACTGTTAGACTAGTCAGACTTGTATTCAAGTCCCCAAACATCGATTCCTATAGTCCGAATCCGAGCCTCATCTCTTCCGAGTCTGAGTCCCTAGTCATGCAGGTCGAGTCCGAGTCTGCGTCACGAGTCATGCCTGTCGAGTCCGAGTCCGAGTCACGAGTCATGCAGGTCGAGTCCGAGTCCGAGTCACGAGTCATGCAGGTCGAGTCCAAGTCCCCAGTCATGCAGGTCGAGCCCGAGTCCGAGTCTCCAGTCATGCAGGTCGAGTCCGAGTCCCAGTCCCGTGCCATGCAGGTCGAGTCCGAGTCCGAGTCCCGAGTCATGCAGGTCGAGTGCGAGTCGAGTCCAAGTCCGAGTCACGAGTCATGCAGGTCGAGTCCGAGTCCGAGTCCGAGTCACGAGTCACGAATGTCGAGTTCGAGTCCGAGTCGGAGTCACAAGTTACCTAAAATACATATTAGAAATACATTTTTAGGTACTGCTAAAGCCTCAGAGAGTGAAAATATTTTCATTGGTTAGCAGCTTTCTCTTATTAGCGCTGCCCCAGGTCCGATGTCGGGATTTGGTCACGTTTTTCATGCTCCAGGGTGGGGATTTTGGTCACTCAAAAACATCGTTACCATTCGCGTACTACATGGAAAGGCAGCACTAGTGCGCCCCAGGTATATGTCAGGGCAAATTTTGCCCGAGGGGTGGGGATTTTGTCACTCCAAAATTGACAATCCCCACGTTGTGTGGGGCAGCCCGGGAGAGGGGTCGGGAACAATGGCAAGGCACTGCATGCAGTGTCTGCATCTGGAAAGGATAATCTGGCACCGAACATTATATCCAGCTTGCCCGCAATATGGACGCCTGGACATTTTTAGATACATTGATTCCCCAGATGCATATCAGAAACAAGCCATTAGCCGCACATCGCACGCTGCGTATTTTCTTTTGCTCGGCACAGATTGTTTCGCTTGCGTCGAGTTCGAGTCCGAGTTCAAGTCGAGTCCGAGTTCAAGTCCGAGTCCGCAGGGTCGAGTCATTTGTAATCGTGATTCAAGTCTGAGTCCGAGTCACGGAAAATGGGACTCGAGTCCGAGTCACGAGTCATACAAGTCTGGTTAGAGTAAACAACAAACCTTGCTCAGTTCCCAAGCTAGATGCCAGTGTGTATGTGCCCATCTGTCCTCCACTGCAGCCTTGGTGAATTCGTGCAATCCTGATCCTCGGAAACTCCGAAAGATGTCGCCAGTCAGAAACTATTTGCTTTTATCAACTCCAAGCCCCAGAAATTGTATCTCTCCCGTTTGATTACTCACACGTCTTATATATACTCCTCTTTCTCTTTTCTCCCAAACCCCAAAGGCCAAACAATGGAGAAAAACACCGAGCGGTTCGTCCGGGATAAAAGTCTTCAAGTTCAAAGACGGTCGTTGATCTCACTTCGTCGAGTTTCTACTTTACCAACACGCATATCTAATTAATAAGTCGCTGCCGTTTATAATCAAACCCGAATTGGATTGCCAGTGGCTTTGTCAAAAATTCGCCATCTAAGTCCGTTCTTTGATTCACGTCCTTTTTTGATTGCATCCCGTAAGTTAAAAACGCTTGTGAATGATGACAACCAGAATGCAGAATGAAGTAGGCCTAAAACATCCAACCGTGACATCAACGCTGAGAACGTTTTTGGCCCGTACCTGCATTTCTGCATTGCTGCCAATTATTATGCCCCACGCGTGTCACACGTCACATCGCAAAATGTTTGACTTTCTCGCTCCGATCAATTAAAGGTGTGCCCGGCCAGTCAGTGCCTGGATACTGCGCCATGCCGATCGTTTGACCTTAGTTTTCTTTTTGCGTTGCCTCCCTCTCTAACAACTCGCAACGAAAGTGGTTGTCACGAAGTCAATCGACGGGTTTTTTTTTCAACATCGAGTGCCCGTGTTCCGATCCTCGCACGCGTCGGTCCATCCATTAGTCTTTCGTCTGTGAAACTTAAGCAGGTCGCGTGTCACGATTCCGGGGGAAGGCACCCGGCCCAGATCGGGCGTATCATGGTGACCGGAAAGCAGTGGTGTATCCAAGCAGTTTTCGTCCGGGAGGTCAATTTTCTCGAGATGGCATTGCCCTCTTGAAATAGTAAAATTACCAGCACGTAAATTGCGATCCATTTTTTATTAAGTGACCGGGCAGGTTTGAAGAGGAGTATGCAATAATCAATCATGTACAATCTAATATGGAGAGACAGTTCGTGTATTGTCATCTATTTTAAACCTAAGTCCTACTTCTTGTGTTCTGAAAGGGCTCATTAATTAGTGGGGTGCTGTGGTCCAATGGCTACGGTGTTCGACTCGTGTGCCGTGGTACATGGGTTCGAATCCTGACCGTGGGAACATGGTGCTTGTGCTCTTGAGCAAGGCACTTTACCATTATTGCTTCATCCTCTGGATGGGATGTAAAGCCGTAGGTCCCGTGTGTTGTGTAATGCACGTTAAAGAACCCAGTAACACTCATCGCTAAGAGAAGGAGTTTGCCCCGGTGTTTCTGGTAGTGGTTGCAGTATGCGCCACAGCGCCATGTAAACCCTTATACGGTGCTACATTATGGGTACGGTCTCATATTTCTCATAAACTTCATTTACCAGTCTTTATTAATAGACATAATTTGCAGCGCCTTGAGTACCTAATTGTTGGTAGATACGTGCGCTAAATATCACTCCGTTATTATTAATGTCCTTTTTTTTATGCAATCCTAAATGCACCTTTGTGTCCCGGAACCCTATTTTCAATTTTTGTTTTACCATTTTCAAGGGTATTTGGTGCTTTGGTTTTTTTTATGCTAATGTGAATTTGTATATTCGTGAGCAAAGGTAATGACCTCAATGTTACAGCTATTTCAGCACTAAAACTTGCCAGATTTGTGATATTTCGCTGTCTTAAATGTTGGTAATTCGTTGTTGTGCCAGTACATGGCATGCAGTAAGCCCGCAATGCGCAACTGTTCTCACAAATATTATTAATAAGCAATTTGTTGGGTTCACAATTTGAATAGAAAACCCCTGAACTGATCAGTGTCGTCCTGAAATGACATCACAGCAACAGCGCCCTCAGTTGTCCGGAAATATTAATTGTTTAAGGAAGTACCTTTTTTTTTCAATAAATAAAATTAACCAAAGAGGGATGTCAAATATTTTCATACATTTTAAGAGGAGTAGAAAGTTGCACAAAATATGTTCCTATATAAGAAAGATTCACTTCATGAACCCTTTAATTGGCCATATTCGAGAACATTGAGGGCGCTGTAACGAGGGGATGCTTAATGTGAATCGTGTCTATACGGAATGATATAATACATCTATCTGAGGGCTTGCGAAAAAACCCAGAACCTTTTAGTACTTGGTGGGATTGACGCGAACCCACGGCTATAGTACAGTATTTCCCTGATTCGCTCGTCC